ATGACCTTCCACTTTCTCAGGACAGCGACAGAGTGTCATTGATCCTTTTGTTCCCAGAAGCTTATCAACACCATTCAGCCCTCCACAAGCTCCACAGGGCTGCTTGTGGAGGAAGCATAGAGCAGCACTGATGTCTAAGCCAGGCAAGAGAGCGGTGACAGGAAGGTCACAGCAGTGCACACATGTTCCTCCTCCCATATTGTCAGCAAGCAATGCATGCTGCATGGAATCCAATGAATTCTACTTCTTTTGCAGTAAAGCTGAAGTTTTTTCGCATTATTTTCTGACCTCCAAAAAAGAACATTTAATTAGCCATTTTAATACAAATGAAATTCCCAGTAAAGTTATCATACTTCATCAGGGTTCCAGTGATATGGCTAGAATTAAATTATATGGACCTAATCAGTGCCGCCCTGTGTGGGCAATCGGCCTTGCTAGGAAAATGTCTGTTGCACTTAAGTAAGAAGGAATTAAAAGGTGTCTGGCAATTGCTTAGTAAACTGAGATTTCTAGGTAACAGTAGTATAGCTTACAAATAAATACAATGTTCCCTGATGATTACTTCCTAGTTCTATTTCTTTGCCATTATTATCACCATTAGTACTGCATCACCACTGTTAAAACAATTCCTTTATCTTTTCTCTTACAAGTCACTCAGTGATTCCTGTGGAGGTCAGTTCTCAGAATAAGAGGGAGGAGGACAGGGAGGAATGAATGAATGAGTGGATGATGCTGGTCCATGGCAGGAGAGATAAGAGACTGCGGGACTGTCAGTGAAAACCTCACATGAGGAATACAGTCCCAGACTAAAGAGATCATTTTCTTCATCCTTCTGAAATTGTTTAAAACATGAATAGTCTTCTCTGTCCCCTTTTCTCCACCCCTCTGTTTCATTCTTTCTTCCTCTATCAATTAGGAGGGCTACATCATATCTCCCAGTAATTCACAGTATCTAATTATTATTTATGGCTAGTTATTGTTTGCTGCTATGCATTTTTTACCTTGCCTTATTCCAAAAAGGATATGAGATAACTTTAAAAATACATAACAATATAAAATTTTTAAAATAGGTAACTGAAGAAAGTGCTACAGAGGGACAAAGATAAAGCCATCTCAGTGAGAGAAATAAAATTCAGATTGAGTCTGTGATACATAGGTTCTTCACAAAGTAACAACCAACCAGTTGCCAAAAGAGAAGCATAGCTGCTTTTGACACAGAGACTGCCTGGGCCCTCCTCTTTGATGAGTGGTGGGAGGCAGTGAGCTACAAGTCACAGTTACTACACAAGAATCTGAACTACTGGTGGCTCAGAGAAGTAAAAGAGGAGATGTAGGTGAACCTGCCAGTAGAAATTACTTCCCCATCATAAAGCTGATGCCCCAGAAACCTGCCACTTTCATCACCCCTAACGATCACCCCTTTGTGGTGCTGCCTTTTAGAATGTAGTCCCTAATGGGTTAGCCTGGGGAAGGAAAGATTAGTTACCTTGAATCAAGGTAAGGTAAAGACCAAGGGAAGTTGGGCAATTGTAAAACTCATCAGGAGATTCAAGTCTCCATTGGTAGGATATGCTTATATTTTCAACACCTGAACTAACTGTAGATGCCCTATTTTATAGCTTCTAAGATCACTTTTTAACACTTACTTCATGCCAGGCACTCTTCTAATAACTTGATAGTAATGACTCCATTTTTGCAATCACCCTACTAAAAAAAAGTACTATTTTACAAGTGAGGAATTAGAGGAAAAGAGAAAAATCAATAGACTTTCCCAAAATCATACATCTAACTTAGAACTAAGCCAGAATTCACCCCACGGAGTCTTGCCCTGGAATTCAAGCTTTTAATAGATAATCTACAATGTTTTTGCAAGTCTTCAAGCACTTTGCAATTCTGTTTCCTAGACTCTGGATACAAGTCAATGGGTCTAATGCAAGGGCTTCCTAGCAGTCAAGAGCTATATGGAAATCTGCCTTCTCGGCAGTGTTTGACACCACTGACCCAGCAACTGACACACAGGGTTGACTAACAAATATTTGCTCTGTATACTGACTTGCCCTGCTTCTGGAAGCCCTCAGGCCCCTTGGCTTCTGTAACACCATATACTTTCTTCCTGCCTTTCCGGCTCCTCCTTTTCAGTCTTCTTTTTTCCTGACGGTCCATTATATGAAAGCATTCTTTATTGTTTCTCCTTAGGTTCACTTTTCTCCCTGGACTCACCCTCCCTGGTGTTCACAGCTACTCCAGTTTTTGTGTATATGTTGGTGTCTCACAACTATCTATTCACATCCCAGTTTCATAGATAAAATTCTAACTCACGTGGTCAACCCTCTGCTGGAATTCAATGTCTCATCTATACTCAGAACCAATCAGCCCAAAATTTAATTCATCTTCATGCTTCTGGACACTTCTAAAACTCCTTCTCTGTTGATTTTCTCAATTAATAATAGTATGATCCAAAAAGCAGCTTGAGACAGAAATCTCAGAGTCATTTTGACTTCTCTCTCTTTTTTATTTCCTATACCCAATCATTAACCAAGCTGTGCTGAGTCCACGTTTTAAACCTGTTGCCTTCTCTTCATCCCTACAGCCTTCACTATATAGTTCAGGCCACCACTGGCTTGCCCTAGGTGAGTGCACCTTGTAAGTTCCAGTTGAATGTCATTTCTCCCATGGGGCCATTGCCATATAGCTCCTGCTTACTTCTCCACCTACATCTCTTCACTGTGCACAGTGTTCCCAACATTTTTCATTGATTTCAGTTCTCTCCTACCTTTTCTGTTCACACTGCTTAGAACATTCTTCTCCTTGCTTCTCCTCTTTCTTCCCCCAACTCCCAACTTGTCTTACTAATTTCTGTCATCTTTCAGGCCTAGTTGCTATGTCATGTTTTGAGAAAACCTTCCTTGAGCTCCCACTTCTGGGGTAAGTTTCCCATGTCTGGAAGCCCATGGTACACCATATTTTCTCTACCATGGACCGCTCTCGCCACCTCGAACTGCAATCATGGTTTTACTGTTTGCAAAGGGATACAAACTGCAGTGACAACAAAGTCCAAATTTTTATTTTGTTCATTTACACTTGATTTCATAGTGATATAGTTTAGTATAAAGTTAAGGAAAGAGCTCATGAGGGGCCAAGCCAGTGGCTGGGTACCCTGTTCCATAGTCATTCAAGAACCCAGGCTGCTGGCAACTCTGCCACCTTTAAGTTGTGACTTCTAAGTCTCCCTGCATCATAAGATCTTGATGGTACATGAGGAAAGATCATGGAGGATCATATGCAGGAGGTGTTATAGGTCAGGCCTTGAAATGACAGTCATCATTCCCACTCACAGTCCATTGACTAGGACTCAATACATGTCCACACCTAGCCACACAGGAGACCAGGAATTGAACTTCACTTTATCTGTGCCAGAGAGAAGAAGGCTGACTTTGGTGATCAGCCAGTAGCCTGCCACATTGACTTTTATTCTCACTAAACTATGTTCCATGAGGGCAGAGGAATTTTTTTTTTACTTCATCCTGTATGCACTCAATAAGTATTTGTTAGATACATAAATTTGTTTTTATCCTATTTTTAAAATATTTTTCTGCCCATTTTAGTTTCTCATATAACATGATCTGAGCTGAGGCAGCTTCTAACACTTCTCTCCATATGTGATGATATTCATGGAGCTGAGGCATAGTGTGTATACACACACACACACAGAGACATCTTTTCTGTTCATTATTAAGCTGAATTGCAAAAAAAGTGATTGATCATCTCTATATGTGAACTCCTTAATAGATGTATAAACCACAATGCCCATTTCTTTACTTATCACACATATTTTTTTCAGAGATTCGATTACCCGGATTTTCTATTTAAGGCATCCCTTTTCTCAGAATTGAGGTACCTGGGAAGCCAGGATGCTGTTCACTACCATCTAAAGCTTGAGGGTGGATGAAGATGCTGGCTGTCATAATGTAAGGATACTGTTGAGAATTGTGTATACTGTTCAGTATCCTTTTTATAAAGCCTGGGGAGAAATTTACTTTTAATCACAATAAAAGAAATAGCTTTGCTTCTCTTGAAAATTGACTGTTTTTATCTTATGATGTCCATCAATGGCATAATATGTACTTTTTATTTCTTAGCATTGTTACTAGAAAGTTCTGACTAAATGTGGGGCATACACACCTACTAAAAGTACATTTTGTACGTTATCCCACTCAGGTTTCAAGGGAACTAAACATACCTTTCACAACTGTGTTTTCCTTGTCCGTGTTTTTCCTTTCTCTTCACTTATTTTATCCTCCTCCATTGCATATTTATGAAAACCACCTCAAGTATGTATTGGAACAAAAAAGAAATACACATAAATATAATACATTGAAAATTTATCTTCCCAAGAGACATAACATATTTTCAGTGGAGTGTGATTGGGTGTTTTTCTTTTTTAATTTGCTTCATCCTTAGAGATATTTTCAAATGAATATGAACTAGTATTTTATTTTAAGGGAAGAGAGGGAGGAGGAGAATGAAAGGTGATGAATTATAAGGACAGAGATGACTCCAAAAGCTAAGAATTGATGTAAATACAAAACCATATGTGGTATATTAAAATATTATAGACAGTTGTGAAACTCGCTGTAAGATGAATTCCATGGGGGTGAGAACCTTGTATTTAGCATTATTTGCCTGGAGACTAGAGTCTGGCACACCGTAGACACTGTAAGGATGTGTTTAGAAAGTATGAATGTAACGCCTTGGCTTTAGTTGGGAAAACTGGGTTAGTATCAAATAAACGATGTTGAGTATTCTGTATGTGCTCATAAGCATGTACCTTTCAGACTCAATTTCATAACGACTGAGATAAAGCGAGTATCATGTGTGCACTAAGATCCTTTCTGGCTGAAATATCCTATGCTCTGCATGCCACCCTTGTTATAGTAGTGGCAGAGTTAAACATGTGTGCGAATATCTACAACAGTTTGGAAAATTTGTTTCCAAAATAGGATATCCAGCTACATCTTCCAATATCCCCGTAGATGTGAGTGCGACTCCCGACAGCGAGCCTCAAAGTGAGTACAGCAAGGCTTTCCTGAGACAACTCAGAAGAGACAACAGGCTCACAGGTTTTGCTGCAGAGGCACGAACAGTGTTGAGGTTTGGGTGGAAGGTTGTATCCTCACTTGATGTTGATATTTTGGGTTTGAGTTACTTGTAATTTATCATCTGATTACTATATATTGATGTGACAATCACTATAATCTTAAAAATAAGGGTTGGTGATTCATTATTGTACTGTACCTTTTATTTGTCATGAGATTGTAAGGTGATGTTTAAGTACTGTCAAGTAATCTTGACAGTAGGCCCAGTGATCTGAGTTGAACAAGAACAGAAAAAGAGAACAAATCATAAGAAGATGGCATTAAACATAAGCTGAAGAACTTTTGCTCAGTATGCCAGCTAGCATTCCTACATAGAGAAGCATATTTTCAATTTTCACATTTCCCCAAAGTCACATAGATTAAAAATTTATCACATCAAAGCAAAGTTAAATTACAGCTTTATAAAAAGTTTGTATTCTGGAAATTTTGTCTTATAGCTAGCAATTCCCATGTGACTGCCCAAGGCTTCAACTACTCCTGGACCCCCAGTGGAAGAGACATTGAAACCTGTAAGTGTAACTATGAGTCCCTTTTAGTCCCCCCAGCCTCATCATTCACCCAACACATATACTGAGTAATTCCTATGTGTTTTACTCATAATGAAATTAACAAACATTTACAAAGCATCTTCCATGTTCAAAGCACTGATGTTGGAGCTGGGTAGGCATCTGTGAGTAAACAACAGATCTAAGTTCCAGACTCTGGTGGAAGGAAGACAGACAAATGGTGATAAGTGAGATAGAACAAATAAAACACGGAAGGGAGAAAGGGAGAATAAAATGTGAGAGTGGGTTGCTATTTTAAATAAAGTAAGACCTTTCAAGACCTAAATTTTAGGTGACATCTGAGTGAAGATATAAGTAATGGAAGTAAAAATGCAAGCTTCGAGTGTGTCTGGGGAAAGAGCATCCTAGCCGAATATACATGTCACTAAAGAAAATGGAAAATGGAGCCCAGGGTGAGGCACAGAAATGGGCTGTTACTTTTCACCTGGCCAACTAGCAGCTGCAGTGTCTGCTGCTTTAGCAGGTATCAACAGGAAGAGGAAATACGCTGTCTCCTAGTGGTATAAGACAAAGATCAGCTCTGTGGTGACATAGCAAGGGATGTGGCAGAAGCGAAGACCTCGGAGGCCAAACACTATGAATTAAACCACTAGGCCCTTTGCCACAAAGTCTATGTGTATGTTCACTTTGGAAAGCATTTAAGTTGTTTATTTAAAACTTCTTGAAATCTTTAGTACCCACTGGCTCAGTCATCTCTCTGCTGGGAACTCGTCCTTAGGAAATAAATAAAAGAGAAACATGTATAATATTTCTTTTTATAGCACTATTGATTTATTCTTTATCTCTTTTATGGACATCAGGTTCACAGGTTTGGATTAATCACAATTTTTAATGCATGAGACACTTTCATATTTGTGTATAACTCTATAATTTAGTGTATCATATTTCTTTTAATAAATGTTAATGATACACACTGGCCATTGAACAACATGGGTTTGAACTGCACAGACCTACTTATATGTGAAATTTTTTCAATAAATACATATAATATTGTAAATGTATTCTCTTCTTTATGATTTCCTGAAAAACATTTTCTTTTCTCTAGCTTAATTTGTTGTAAGAATACAGTGTGTAATACATATAGCATACAAAATATGCATCAATCAAGTGTATTATTAGTAAGGCTTCTGTCAACAGTAGGCTATTGACAGTTGTCTTGGAGGAGTCGAAAGTTGTATGTGGATTTGCATCTCACAGGGGTCAGGGCCCCTAAACCCAGTGTTGTTCAAACGTCAACTATAATGCACACCTGCGAACTCACTGCTCAGAGAAATACGACTGAGAAGGCATTATAAAAAGAGAGAGCGCAGAAAGAGATTCACAGATAAGTGGAACATAGAGGTATGTCAAGGTAGCACGACATTACTGTGAAGAGAAGAGACTGTTCAGCAAATGGACCTAGAAGCATTGATTATTTATAAGAAAGAAAACATTAAAATGTACTTCTATCATACACGTTACACACAAAAAAATTCATAGACTAAGTTCTTTACATCAACAAAGCATTAACATGTCATAAAATAAAGGTGAGTATTTTCCTAAGCTGTGGGGTAGGGAAGGGCTTAAAGAGGGGTGAGGCACATATGGACATATGTGCCATAACATCAAGCACTAACCATTAAAATAATTAAAAATAGAATTAAATAATTTTTTTAAAAAATTATCAAAATACACCTTATATAATGTAAAATTAATGAAAGCTATAATCTAGGAGAGGATACTTGTCACACCTGTAATTGAAAAAGAATCAAGAATACATACTTCACGAAGGACCTAAACTTTTTATAAGGGCATATAAAGAATGCCTACAAATCAGTAAGAAAAAACAGAAAGCTATAGAAAATGAGCCAACAGGCATATTACAAATCATGAAACAAGTGGCTGGAAAAAGAGATTCTCAGCCTCTCTAGAAATTAGGAAATGCAAATGAAGACTAGAATCAGATAACTATTTTATACCTAATCAATTAGCAACAATTAAGAGGCCTGTAATTACCAAGTGTTGTACGGACTGTAAAGCAATGTAAGGATTTATAGATTGCTGGTGAGAGTAAAAATTGGTATGATCACTTTCCACCACTTTGACATTACATTTTAGAAATGAACATTTTTGTACCCAGCAATCCAACAACTTTTTTCTCCTAGATAGATATCCCACTACACATGCAAAAATACTACTACATCTTCCAGGAGATATGTATACTATTCATAACAGCAAAAATTATGAGTAATATAAATGGTCATAGCCAATAGAATAGATTAACAAATTGTAGCATAGTCATATAATAAAATATCATAGAGCAATAAAAAATGAGTAAATCACAGTCACATACAACAGCATGAATGAATCTTCATAACATTGTGTTGAGTCAAAAAAGTAAGTGCCAGGTGACAGTATATGGAATAATATTTTTAAATAAAATTTGAAAGTAAGTAAAACCAACCACCATGCAATTTAGGCATAATATGTGATAATTTTTTAAAAAAATTATATGTGACTAATAGACACAACATTCAAAACAAGGTTTGCTTTTGAATGGGCATACCAGAGATAGGATGGGGTTAAATAACATTACATAATACAGTCAGTCATAATATGTGACTAAAAACCAAAATATCTGTGTGCATGAGTGAGAGTGATGGGGTGTTTAGGAAGAATTTGTCCAATAATAAGAGAATTTGGAATAGGTGAGACAATAACTCAGTGAAATATTTATGAAGCCCATTAAAACCATAGCCATAATGTACTAAGCCAGCCAGAAGGTCTTATTATGTAGACAAGGCTAGGAGCTGGAAAATATTTACCAATCAGTTATAAATTGAGAATAAAAGTACTAGTTAGGCTGGGGATGAAAGTCTATATTTCATAAATTAACACTTATCTTTATATGGTGTTAACATAAAATTGAGTTGTTTCTAATAAACTATGCTGAAACTCTACCTGCACTAATTTGTCATCCTTTATGCATGATACTGTAACACAAAGAAGTTCCATGAGATATTTGTTTTGTCGGCTTACCTGTATCCCCCATGTCTAAGACAAGGCTTGGCATATTATTAGTACTCAACAAATACTGATGAACAGATAAATTAAATCATACTTGTGGTTATGAGGGGGGAATTATGCAACAGTGGGCAAAAGAGTTTATTGGACAATGTTATAGCAAAAAGCTGAACTATCAACTTAAATTTATGCCCTCATTATATATATATCTATGCATATATATGCATATATATGCATAGATATATATATGCATAGGTATGTATATATGTATATATATAAAATCTCATGCATTTATTCTTATCATAACTGACTGTCTGATGTTTTTCTTTATTTTACTTATTTGATTATCTACTGAAATTATACTAGAATGTCAGATACACAAGAACAGGTTCCTAAAACTTTTTGTGTTTTGTTCACAATGCTTTCCAGATGTCTGTAGCAGTGGTGGGTATACATAGGTGCTCAGCACATATTACTTGAGTGATTGAAAGAATATATGTAACATATGGGCAAGAACAAGAAAGAAAACACAAACACAGTGAAAAGAATGATCTACTTAAGTGGAATATTTGAACTTTTTGTTTATTTTTTTTTATTTAAATTGTTAATACAATACCGTAGGGCCAGGAATTGAAAGGAAATCCTTTTCATTGCATGTATCACGTCAGCATGAAGCGCACAGGCCCCCAGGGTGCTTCCTCCCTCAGAAACTGTAAAACTGAAAGGGTCTGGCTTAAAGTACTTTATAATTTACACAAGTATATTCTTGGTCTTTTTAATAGGTTTCACAATTAAATGAGCTATTGTAATCCTCCTCATCTTATGTCTTTTTCTCAGTTAAAAACTTTATTTATCCTCACACCTTTTTATCATTCTTGCCACAAAAATAGCCTTAGAAATTGTGAAATCTAGAAAGGAACTTTAGAACCCAGCAATTTTTTTCCTGTCAGTGAAAACCTATATTTTTACCTATGCAAAAATAATAAGTTTTTGTTAACTAATTGCCACTTTTTAATCCATAAACTTATAGAAAAATCCCCTGCAGTGAGTAGTTTTATGTGTAGTCGTTGACAAAAATACATTAGGATCCAAAAAGTGAATATTGATCGCTTACTCTCAAACTGTTTTTGAAACATGTTTCTGCTCATTGGATTGTACTGTAATGTGACATCTAGTATTAGAAGATGCATTTGGCAAGACTCAGGACAGGCACTGGTAATGGGATTTTTTTCTCCTGGTATGTTTATTTCAGTAGATTTGTGAAATGTTCAAAGGCAGGCATAGAATGATAATGGATGGATTTCTGGTGAAATAAACCCAGAGCAATGTTTCTAAGGCCCTTGCTATTTGTCAACACGTGCTATGGGATATTTGCTTATACATGCACTACTCATACCTCATATTTATTTGGATGTCACTAGACAGTTCTGAGTTCATTACATTTACACTAAGTTTACAAATATAAGTTTTAATGTATTCTTTGGTTTTCATTTTGTTTATCAACTTGAAGGAATCTAAGCTGGGACTCAAGAATTTTGGAGCCTAGCCCTGGCTGCTGTGGCTCAGTGGAGCGAGTGCCAGCCTGTGAACCAAAGGGTTATGAGTTTGGTTCCCAGTCAGGCTACATCCCTGGGTTGTGGGCCCGGTCCCCAGTATTGGGCACTTAAGAGGCAACCACACACTGATGTTTCTCTCCCTCTCTTTCTTCCTCCCTTCCCCTCTGTCTGAAAATAAATAAATATTATAATATCTCAGACAAAATAGGAATGATTACAATGTAAAGAAAACTTATAGCTGAGTATTATAATGTAAGGAAAAAGTTGGCAAACCAAATTTTTAAGAAATCATAAAGTTAGAATGAAATGAAGATATTTTAGTCAATGGTGAGCAGATTGTTTAAGGAGTGTCTACACAAACCCTGTCTCTTTCTCAGTCAGGGGTCAATGTTTCATATGTGAAAAAATATCAGAGTTCACAGGGATTTTGACAAAACGGTTATGGTACCAAGTTTTGCTTGCTTATTTAGCCAACAACAAAATGCAGTTCATGGTTTCAGCTGATAACCATAACAAGCAGAAAAGTTTGTTGCTGTTTAACCCACCATGCTAAAGGCTAAAAATGTATTTTATAAAGGGATTCTGCCTTGATTATTATCATTAATATAAAAGGGTAGATAATAAATGTATTTCCTAAGCTGGGTTCCATTATGTGAAATGCTAAAATAATAAATTATACATCCATAGGGTCATAAGATAAACAAAGCATGTGGGTGTTATAATTGTTCTACCTTCATTGTGGTCATTGACTAGGGTTCCACTAAATAAATATGTTTCCCAACTGTAAAAATAATACATGCTCATTGTGGAAAATTAGAAAAACAGAGAAAATTAAAACTAACACTTTATATGCAACTGTGTTCCACTTTTTTCCCCTCACACATTGAATATCTTACTCCTTTTCCCAAATGCTATATAATTCTTTATAAACATCATTTACAGAGTTTCATTTTTATGGTAACTGACAATAACAAGCTAAATGAAAAGTGGTACTTAGAAATATATTAGACATATTTAAAATTAAAAATACTATGTCAAGAAAGAAAACTATATGAATAAAAATAAATAGCATATATTTTTAAAAAAGAATATTAGAGTCTAATTTTAGTTCAGCTTCCAAGTTTCCTCAGTCTGCAACACCTGTGAAACAGGGATTAGTATCCCTGAGTCTAATCAACTCAATGCCCAAAATTGATAAGGTTAGTAATGTCCAAGTACACATTCTCATCCTGACACTCAGGTGATCAGGCCATGGAGCAGAAAATTGAAGCTTAATTTCTCTTCTCTTTTTGGTTTTTCCTGTCATGTGTCTGGTCCACTGGAGATAAAAGCCACATTTAAATCAGCCAGTCTGTCTAAGTTATACAAGCAGAAAAATGATATGACCCTCCATGAGCCCCTATGCCCCCAGCTTGCCCCATTACTAAAATCAACAATCTCACTATCAATACACACCTGGGCCTCAGAGTAATTCTTATTGACCTCACCTTCCTTACCTTCAAAATTTATGTATTCTTCTTAAATCTTAAAGATGCATCACTTATCCTGTCCATGGTTTTGTCTGGTTCTTCTCAGGCTTTGGTAGCTGTGGCTGATAATTCCATAACAACTGTTTTGACTTTCCATTGGCAAAGGGTGATGGAGAGGCTAGAGCTGAGGGTGTGAGGGGACGGTCAGGGACATGGTAGTGAGAGAGCCTATAGCAATCCTGAGTCCTGTTCGTATTTCAGTGTCCACAATAATCTTCAGTCCCTCTGTTCCCTGCTGGCTGGGATGGTGATTCTCTAAAATCACCACTCTCACCCTCAAATTCTAAAATCTTATGCATCGCAGATCACATCTCACTCCATTTTCCTCTTTTCTAAATGCCATTCTCCCACTCTGTCATCTAGTTTATGATTATGTCAGTTTCAAATTAAAGATGTATTTCTCTGATTTAAAATTCTATTGTTTGTTAAACTACCAGTTTCTGGGGCTCCTCCACAGCCAACACACAAACTTCACACATTGAAAACTCATGAATGTCATCTTTTTTTTCTGTGGTCAGGAAGAGTATGGGGTCTCATATTTGCACTAGGAAATCAGAGCAAAAGTAGACACTGTCGTTAATGCCAATATGTATGTTCTGGTGGAAGAGGTGATACTGGCTGAGTACACATTCACCCTAAAGTGGGAGATGGGGCAGAAGACCAAGGTTATTGAAGAATTGTTCATCTCTTCATCTCTGGCTATTGCTTGCCACCTATGCCATAGTTCTGGGACAAATTTAAGGACAAAAGAACTCAGAGCGACTTTAGGAAGACTGGATAACCAAGAAAAAATCTGGACATGTAAAATGATTCCAGAATTTCAGAGAAGTCCATTTTACCACAAGAAGCCTACAAGAGTAAAAAATGTTATCTGTGGTTTCCTCGAAAGAAGTGCTGCCAAACTTCAGACCATCCAGACTTTGCGATGACACCAAGAAGGTTTTCCTACAAAAGGGAAAGGTGCCTAACATATTGCAATATTATTGACAACTATAAACTGGTTACAGACAGATATCTACAAAAGCTATTGCAACTAAGTGAAAAATACTACACTGAGAAGTACACTTTTATGGTAGCATGGTATCACATAGTTTTCTTGTTGAACAAGCTTTATCAAGAGTAAAACTCAAATAAATTGTGGAAGAAACCAAGGGTTTGCTGAAGGGAGGGAATAAAATTTTATTTGAGAAACACCATCAACACAGTATCCCTGTGTTCATGTTTTTAACTGATAATGGTGATGTGCTGAAGGAGGTTATCCATCACGCTGGTGTTTACCATCCAAATGTCAGAGTAACGTTCATTTGTGGATTTTGACGAAAATGGGTGCTCAAAAGGTTTTAAAGAGATTTAACTTTTGTATTTGACAAACATGATGATGACTTGAAGGATATAGAATATTTCAGTCAATTAAAAGACAATAGCAACACAATTCTGTTGAGACTCTCAAGGAGTCTTAAAAATGGCAGATGGAGTAGTCAATGTGGAACACATTCTAAATATTGGATATCTAAATGATAGAGTGCCAAGGCTTTTAGAAAAGTACTGCACTGGTGAAAGATGAATCACTGGAGAAAGCTAACTGTCTTACTGAGGATGCTATAAACAAGCATTATTTAGGAAGACCTCTCTCTTATGGGAGCAATTAATACAAGAATTGTTCATCTCTTTGTCTTCCTGAAAGACTTTTATTTCTTGCTCTTGAAGTTTTTCCTTTTCATTACTTAAGCATTTTCAGACATATTGGTTGAATCAGTCAACTGGAAGTTCCTTTTTCTTCACCTCTCAGTACACTCCCTGCTTCATTTTTTAAACAAAGTTAAAAAAATCTTAAAGCCAAAATTAAAATAACTCCCTACTTTTCCAAAGTGGGGTTTGTTGTTAATTCTATCACACATTTTCTAGATGTCTTTTTACACTTGAAAAATTCCTAGAAGTCTAAAAGGAAGCTTTATGAAATGGTCAAATAATTTGCATGATTTTAAGTATTGCCATTGTTGTAATTTGAATAAATCATGCTGATGATATCACCAGCCCCTGAAATTGTGTTATGCTTGGTTATTACAATTAGAGAGCATCAATATGGACCAGAAAAAAAAACAGCACTCTATATATGGCAAAAACAAAACAAAACAAAACAAACAAAAAAATTTGGTGTCCACATGTACCTGATTGTTACAAAATGGTCTCTATTTAGCTGCTAATAATAAACATGAAGTGGTAAATCTTTTTTTTTAAATACCTGTTTTTCTCAAAGGGATAGCGCTTAATCAACTATTTATATATTAGCATAAGTTAATTTGTCATATACTTTGTCATATACTTTCTTATAAGCTGAATTTGAAGAGATCAGATATAAAGTCATCAAGCTCTAAAAGTAGAAAGTAAAACACACAATATTGGGGGGGAAAGAAAAACTGAACAAACTATTTTATCAAAACTGTCCTAAGTCCAGGCCTGGTCCCCATTTCTTTTTATAGTTGTTCTTTGTGAGTCAAGTTCCTGGCTTAATGGCTTAACCATTAAAAATGGCCATTAAAAATAGTCAGTCCATTGTCTGTAGACCTTTGTGTTCTATCTGGGAGAGAAAAAGAGTCAAGATCATAGGTGTGGGTCAGAGAATTATATTAAATATAAGACCATCTCTCTGGCCTAGTCAAACTCAAAAGCTGTGTATAAAACCACCCTGACCTGTAGGGTGACTGCATATAGAAGATACTGTGACAGATTGTCTGGTGAGTCATCCCTAGAAAGCACTGACTTATATCTCTTCCGAAGAATCTGATAACATATCTTTGTCTACAGCTGCAAATGCTACTGATGCTCACAGAGAAACCAAGAGAAGAGAGGCTAAGGAGTTTTTCAATGTTTGTTTTGTTTTGGTTTGGTTTGGTTTTGCTCATTTGTTTTGGTCTGGACACACAACAAAACACTTAACTTCTAAAATCACGTATGCTAATGTGTTGAATACATGAGCATACTACTCATGCTCCACTGTAGTTATTTTACTTTACATCTATTTCATTATTGGCCTGTTATCAAATGCAGGTATGTGAAGTTTGCCAAGAGGTGCATTTTTCTTGCCAGAGATGGGGAACTAAACAAAATGAGTTGATGGATCTATTTCAAAAGCCATATGTGCTGTCTGAGTCTGCTGCCACCACTCAAGGGGGAGATTTGGCTCCGAAAGCATCAAAAGGACACGCCTAGCAGCTAACAGGCCTGTGGCTGCAGGGTTCTGATAGTTCACTGTTGACACAGTTCAGTCACACAGTCGAACAAGAATGTCAGTTTACCCACAAACAGTTTTTTTCCCTCATGTGCTCTACCAAGGTCTTCCCAGTCCAACTGGCACCTTTCCTGGACTAAAGTCCACCATAACACACCTGGGCTTTCATTCTTTCCTATTCCTTTAGCTCGTCTATGGATGGACATAAAAACAACCACAACAAACTCGCTGTGGCCGGAAGAATGTTTCCTAGTGTTTTCCTTTCATTCCTTCTTCCTTCTCCTAAGTGGCTAAAATCCAAGCCTTCCCTATCAGAGACATCAGGACCACAAGTGTTCCCTCAACTCTCACTTTATTTTGGGACATTCCAATGTGTACTGCAGAATAGTTCGATGATATCACTGTAAATGTGAATTAATGTACCATTTTCATAATCATGAGATTTAATTAAAGGTCAAGAAGAGAAAATAACTACTCTTATACAGATAATTCTTCCAATATATTCCTCCTTTAGCAACTTCATGGATGCCCAGTGAAACATACAGATCATTCCCCTCAGACACAGGCTCGACTCCTCATGGTGAGTACTCAGGGAGGATTTGGGGTCAAGGAAGGCAGTGGTCTTCTTCTTCTGGGCAGAGAGTGAAAAATAAGGACTGATAAGAACCCAGTCTCAGCTAGGTATTTGGAAGCGCATCTTGATAATGAAAATGACAGTGATTGTGACAATCATAATGAATGCAATTAAAATTCTTCCCAGGCACTGAAAAAACATAGTCAGAGACCAAGTCTTAGATTTTGTTTCTCTGTTTTATTTTGAAATGAAATATACATAATAACTTCTTGAACCAATTAAATCCATTAAAAATTAATTTTTAAAAAATTTTCCATTGGAAAGTGGAATTATCTGTCAGTATGGATTTGTCCATCTGAATGTTGCAAAAGAATTTTTAAAATTTATTTTCATTGTATTTTTTTCATTACCACTTATCCTCCTTTTACCCTTTCCCACTTCCACCCATCCCTCTCCTCTCTGCAATCACCACACTGTTGTCCATGTCCACAAGTGCTTTTTCCTTCTTGTTACTGACCTTTTCAAACAGGTTAGAGTAGGGAGAATCAGTATTTTGTCCTCTTTGATATCCAGAGAGAAAGATGAGGAATAGCCCTCATCTTTCTATGATCCCAACTTATGATATTTTTCCCATAAGCACTGAAAGTTCTCATGGTGACTTTTCAGCAGATATTGGTTTGTTTGTGTGCTGTATAGCTTCTCTTTTTTCCTTTAAACCAATAGGAACTTTCACTACTTTATGGCATTAGATTCTAGAACCCTAGCCTTGCTGTAAATTGTCCTTAGTGAACTCTACACATAAAATTTTCAGAGCATTTAAGCCATTCAGTTTGAGCCCTTTCAGATAATCCCCTTTGTTTCCCTAGGAGATGACACCACCACCACAAGCAAAGCATTTTCAGAAGTTCCTACAACTGCCAATAGATCTACTAAAATTAATTATATCCATATCACTGGTAAGTCATTTACCATTTATTGTTTGGATGTGTTTTATTCACTCAACACATATTTGTTGAGTATCTACCATTTGCCAGATGCTGTGGCAACTGTTGGATATGCAATGAAAACACTGACCGCTGGAAAATTAATATTTTTAGAGATGATATATAGTAAATAAGTAATCATACAATAAAATTTATTTGTGACTTGCTATGATGTAGCACAAGGTATTGTCAGAGTCTAATGGAAAGATCTGATTTTAATTGGAGAACAGGAAAGGACTCACTGAGAATATATTTAAATTAAAATCTGAAAAATGAACAAGAATTAGCCAGGTGAAAAGTAGTGAGAAACATTGTCAGTCTTGTGAAAATATAGTCTGAGTCATAAAAAGAGGTAGTTGAGAAAAAGAGAATTCCTACATTCACCTAATACAATTTTGTCAATGCTAAATATAATCCTTTATTTTACATAACAGGACAAGGGATTCAATAAAGTTAGAACTGCCCCTGCCCAATGCAGGTCTTGATTGTAAATTCAGCGGTATAATCACCTTTTTCACTTCAGGGGGTATTCACTTAACTGGTGAACTCTTCGCCTGGGTACTCAGCTCATTTCATATGGAAAGTCATGCAATCCTCAGATCATTAGAGCATCATCCTTCATACAACATGGCAACAGAGTTGCAAACCGAGGGCCTACCGATTCCTTTAAGACGTTGTCTTCAGGAGCTGCCTGCTTTAGAGATGGAGCGGGACTGGAGCTCTGCTTCTGCCCTGAGACATTCCTGAAGTCAGTGGTCTCATTTTCTATATTTGTTTTGAAGAAAATTTGTAAACACTGACGTTTACAAATCAGTGTAAACACTGATTTAAAACCTTTTGTACTTTAATTTTTCTGAAATGTGGGGGGTAAAATGTTACATCCCACCATAATACTAGTGTAGGGCCTAGTCAATATTGATTCCACTAAAACAGAACTTCATGTAGTCCTGAGTCCTGAGGCCTGAGTCTGCACAATTGTTTCCTTTGTGATCACAAAAGTCTGGTGGTTTGAATTACTCTGAACTCTCTCTAGCCATCTGTCCATACGTAGTGCCACGTGGTTTTGTAGGATTACATGTGCTTCCATCAGTGCCTGTTTCAACAGGGCTGGGGTAGGGCGAGCATCAAGAAAACCTTGAACCCCTGGATGTCTGTTGTAAAAAGAAAAGTCTCCTACACTGATAAGCAGTGTTAACATGGCAACATCATGTGACTGCAGTCCAAACTATGTAAAACAAAGAGAAGACTTGGTACCTAATATTTTTAAATCTGTTTTTTTTTGCCTGTCTTTTTTTTGTTTTGTTTTGTTTTGAGATTTTGTTGGGTGAAAAGCAGTATAATAAATCTAGGCAATAAAAGAAATTAAAAACCTAGTCTCCACCTACAAGCAGTTCATACTCTAAATAATAAAAGAAAATCAATCCAGATAATTCTGATATAATATGCACTATTTCCCCAAATGATCTGTGCAAGCTAACGAGCTAGAGATGTATCTGTAGTGTATAAAGAATTTCGCTGGAGTGCTGTTAGAAATAACAGAAGCCTGGAAACAATTCAACCATCTAACATTAAGAGACCAATTAAACAAGCTACGGTAGAGACATACATTGGGGAACTAGCCAGGATTTTAATTGAATGTGGTAAATTTCTACGTACTTTTTTGGAAACTATTCCAATAATGTTTTTTTAAAGAAAAAAAAAGCCAGGGGACAGACAGAATAGTATGTCTAGTATGCCCCCATTTCTAATATACATGTTTATGTATGCATAGAAAATTTCTGGCAGGATATGTAATTAACTATTGAATGTTATTGCCTTAGTGCGGGTTACTGGCACCTGAAGTATTAAGAGCAATTCCTTTTCTTTTTTTTAAAGATTTGTATTTATTTATTTTCAGAGAAAGGGAGGGAGAAAAACATCAATGTGTGGTTGCCTCTTGTGCACCCCCCCACTGGGGACCTAGCCCACAACCCAGGCATGTGCCCTGACTGGGAATCGAACTGGTGAGCCCTTGGTTATAGGCCAGTGCTCAGTCCACTGAGCCACGCCAGCCATGGAAGAACATTTCCTTTTCATTGTAATTTTATATTTGTGTCCTTTTTGAATTTTTAACATGATCATAATATACTTTTCAAAAAGGAAATGCTTTTACTTACTGCTAGGTAGAACCAGGCACCCGCATTTACTAAAAAGTAAAAGCATCCAGAGTATGATATTTATTTTCCTGCTGGTCTAAAATCCACAATATTTGAAAGTGTTTGATTCATGCAGTTTGACTTAGTGTTCACATGTTAAAAATTTAATAAATTAGTTGAGTATGGGCATACTCAGCATGGATAAGAAAAATCAGCCCATTGGCTCTTCACAAATATAATTTTAGCCAGTCTCTTACTTTCAACTTTCTCCCTTTTCAGACCATAGAAACAGCAAAAACAATTGGTTTCCATCCTACCCCTTTTGCCCCTTCTCCCCTTTCTATTCCTGAAATGAATATGGGGAAAAAGAGGGAAGTTGACAGAAAAGGATAAGAAAATCTCTACCCTGGATATGATGCCTTGAGTGACAAATGAGAAGTCTGGAAACATAGTCTTTCCAGCCCTGTTACTCCATAGGGATTGGCCAGGCCTCTGCAACTTTGGCTCTTCAGGGCTTTGGAATGTTATACTGCTTTTTTCTCCTCCTGTCACACATGTTTCCATAAGGCATATAATGAGTCCTTCGAGAATAAGAAAATCCAATGCTAAACCATTGTTTTACAAGTAAAGTTTTCTTCACTGCAGTAAATTTGGAAAACAAATTTATAGATTATTATTTTCATTTATTCATTCCTGCAAATAACATTTCATTGGGTACTATATGTCAGGAATTGTCTGGGGCCTTGGGAAAATGAAGGAAAATATCAGTTGTAGAACATTCGAACAAGAAAGACATTCATGTAAAAATGTAATAGTGTAAATGCTGGACCAGAAATTACAACAAGGCATAGATATGATCCCAAAACACAACTGTGGTCAAGGACTATTCCATGGCCCTTGCATAAAATACTTGTCAGGTAGGAGAAATAGTTCAATTAGTTCTGGTTTCCAGTGGCCCAAGTTTGGCATTAATATTCCTCTCTCTTTATGCCCTTCTCAGGTGTTGTGGCTAATAAGCCCAAAGATGGAATGTCCTGGCCAGTGATTGTAGCGGCTTTGCTCTTTTTCTGCCTGGTACCATTTGGTCTGGGAATGAGGAAATGGTGTCAGTACCAACAGGAAATGTGAGTATGATGCTAAGACATGCAGAAACAGATACTTTTTCAATGTGCACTGTTCACTCAGTACTGCAAATATCATTCCTACATTGATGAATCCCTCTCATATTTAACTCTGGAAATAAATCTCAAAGAGGTCAGACAGCTTTCCCAGCAGTCCGACACAGCAGTCCCACACAGCTGGGACTAGATACACAACTTCTGACTTGGTATCCCCTCTGCCCACTCTGGCTGGAACACGACACTCAGCAGATGGAACAAGTCACTGGGCAGGAAACAAAAACTGAGCCTCACCTTACCTCAAAATTGAAAATGATTTTTCTTTTAATCTTCATTATTTTTTCATTTTCATGCATCTCTGAACTGCCTAGGCCTAGCCAGGCCTAGATGCTCAAGTGTGAAATTGAGTGAGAAAGGTAATTTAAAGAAATTTCCAGCTACTTTTCAGCAGAAAGTTTTTACTGCCCTTGTCCTTTTTCCCCAATGGGAACAGAAAATAAGCAGTTGGTTTCCCCTTCTTTGTCTTATTGAAACATTTTCCAGAACTATTCTCCCTCCCATCAACAATCTGAAATGAAATGTTAGGTCACGCCTCACTTTTCTGACTTGGTTATTTTGGATCAGCCCAGATTAGGCCATGATTAGAGGGGACCCTCATAATACATAGGGCTGATCTTCCACGTATCTTATGACTACTGCTGAAGGCAACATAGACCATTGCGCACTACCTTCCCCTATTTGTCTGAGAGTATCCTTGAAGACTATAATCATGTACAGAGAGGGCTTCATGGTAAATAAAGGACTAAACCAGTGGTCAGAGATTGTGGATTCTTATCCAAGTAGTCTACTTTGGCCACCATATGATTTTGAGAAGTTCATAATTTACCTGAAAAAAATGGAAGTGCAAATTTCTTTTTCAAATGGAAGTAGAATATTATCTACTTTTTGATAAATACTATCTCCACTAAAGCATCAGAAAACCAGGTAATAGTCATTGGGAATTTATATATTAGAATGAGAAAATGGGAGTCTGATAATCTGAAATGATTTTTTGTGGTTATTGTGTAGTCAAATGTCTGTATTATATAGAGATGAGAAACAATTTCTTGATAAATGTATGTGAGAGAGAGACCTGGAGAAGGTAAGGTGCTATGGATTGATACACAAGAGGGGGAGGTGTTTGAATCATGGACACAAATCTGCTCACAGATACATTTCTGTTTTCTAATATCAAGAGGACTGGAGCATTTGTGTATCTGAATCCCACACTCGCCTGTATACTTGAGGCATTTCAGACAAGAGATGAGTTATGTACCAATGAACAGTACTTTATGCAAAGATGGTATTAAGAGTATTCACTGGCCTAAAGAGAAGGGGTTCTGGCATTATCTATCCAGCACCAACCAACTCAGGGATTCAGAAGAGCTTTACTTCTCACCTCAAGCAGATCCCCACAGCACACAATGAGTGGGTGGGTGAAGTCTGGGGGTATGGTTGGCAAAGGAATTATTTGAAAAGTTTCCATCTTTGGCCCCAGAATTTTAAAATTTTGTCTGGAGGAATGTTTAAACCCACATAAGAGAAACACTTCTACTAAGAAGCAGTTGCCATGGAGAGTACAGGTTTTGGTTAAAAGACTTGAATTGTTGTCTGGTTCTGTAGAGCAAGTTGCTTAAAACCTTTATGCCTCATTTTGTGGAATAGTGACAGTAATATTCAATCTCTAGATACAAATTAAGTAATGTTATGATAAAAATGCTTTGAAAACTATAAAATTACCATATAATATTAATTAAAGATATTATCATGATAAAACTACCAAGCAGAAGGTTATACCAAGAAAATTCTGAGAGCTAGTGAGGCATGTCTCTTCTTCTTTCTGTTTCCTACTCTAAAAGAATATATATACCATATGTAATATTATGATTATCATATATGTGATATATATGATAAATATATATGTAAATATATCACCCCCTCACATTCTTTCACATTCTTAGTATTGAATGAACAATGTTTTCTTCCTAGCATGGAAAGACCCCCACCTTTCAAGCCACCACCACCTCCCATCAAGTACACTTGCATTCAAGAGTCCATTGGAAGTGATCTGCCCTGTCACGAGATGGAAACACTCTAGTTCTTTGAGACTTTGCCATACAATGAAACTCTGCTAGAATCCTATTGAGGTCAATCTTTTGCTTTATTAAATATTCACCCCTAACCAAGCCTCTACTGCAGCTGAAATGGATGTCAGAAGAGAATGACCTGTTTTCCCAGTAACTCATCCCCTTTCAGCTGTGTATGCCTTTAAAGAAGAGTGAGAGGGTATGTTTGCTGACACCCAATGCAGTCTTTAGGAATGTTCTTGCTTATGTAAGAAGTGCAAATTAGGCGGCTGCCATTAAAAATACTTGCAGTGTTTTTATTCTTTGTTTTAATTATCTGATTGCAGTGACAACAATGGTTTCAAGCATATGTTCGTACCAGACCTTTTTCTCTATGGGCATCTGCCAACTTTCTAAACTATTTGCCAAAAACATGATAATCTCTGAGGTTTGTCGCATTCCCTAAGAACATAAAGTTCTAGCAAGAGCTCCAAAGAATGGGAAAGTGCAATTTGTCTTTATATTGAAATTCTGCTGTTTATTTTCTTTCACTGGAGGAAAGCAGAATATTCTTTGCAAGAACCCTGGTTCCAATCCTCATTTACCTTTTCTCCCATTATGTTCAGCCCAGGATCCTGCCCCATGGGATGTGGAAGGACCAATGAGATAACTAGCAACAGCCAAGTAGCCTAGTAGATACAACCTTTAATTGGCTCTAAAATTACATGAGCTAAGAGTGATCTCATTCTCAGTTTTACCTCTGCATGTGTGTGTGCATGTGCATGTGTGTGTGTCAAACCATTGGGAAACTGTTATACAAGTAAACAGACAGCCTAATGCTAATCTAACTCACTTAATTCCCATTATTCTCTTTTTCACTGGAGACTTTTCTGTTTATTCAATGTGCCTGTTCTGATATGTCTTGGAACAAATAAAGAGCCTCAAATCAGACTAGCATTGATGAGTTAACCCTGCTTCTACCAATCTTTTATAAAACATTTCAAACAGAACACAGAAGTGGTAAAGAAAGAAACCTCATCAGCCTGACCAGCTCTGGATTCAGCAACAGTTTGTGAGTGAATAAATTACTGATACCCCTTGTTCCTCTAAACCTTGCCACACACCCCTGCTCCCAGAGGGAAGAACAGAGGTTGCTGATAACAAATTCTGTATGAACTTTAGTCTCAAGAGGAACCTTTACTTCATTTTCAGTGTATTTATGCCTGAGTGCACATGAGAACAACATGGAGAACTTTTTTGATGTCATGTCTGTCCCTCCTGATCAACTTAATCAGAATATCCATCAAGTTAGGCCCAGACATACGCATTCTCAGATGAGTCAAAGTTGAAAGCAGCTGAATGAGAGGAAGTCCCTTCTCACTGATTAAAATCTTGGTTAAGTGCTTAACTCTTGTGGTGGCCAGCCTCCAAGATGTTCACTATGATTCTTGCTTTTTATGTAGTCCCCTCTGACTCTGAGTACAGCTGACATGTACAGATGGTCAGGACTAGATTAAGGCAAATAAGGCAGCAAAGGTGTAAAATTTAAGAACACATTTACACTCAGAGTCATGCACTTACACAATCTTGTGAGTGAGTACAAGTCCCAGGCCTGGTATAACCAATAAAATATTGCAGAAATGACCAAATGTGATTTCCAAGACTAAGTCATAAAATATTGTAGCTTCTGCTTTGACCTCTTTTTGATCACTTGTTCTGGAAGAAGCCAGTTGCTATACTGTAAGGACACCTAAGAAGCCCTATTGAGAAGCCCACTTGTCAAAGAACTGAGGTCTCTTGCTAACAGCAAGTATCATCTAGCCAGCCATGTGAGTGAGGCATCTTGGAAGCAGCTCCCCCAGCCCCCACTCAAGTCTTCAGATAACTATACCCTCATTTGATCTTTCGACTGGGACCTTGTGAGATCTGGGACAATCCAGCTCAGCCTCCTCTGAATTCCCAACCCACAGACACTATATGAGATCATAAATACTTCTGACAGAGCCCAATAAATGGAAAAAATAAACTAATGCTTGCCAGCCTGCCTTAACTGCCCTAAATTTCTCATTAGTTCTCAAGAAACAAATAGACTCACTTCTTAATACATGACTATTGCTTCATGAGTAGTTATTTTTATTTAACACAACTTAATCATCTGGAGCTTGTGTAATCATTGTGGAGGTATTGGAGTAAAAAGTGGCAGAGCTGAAGGATGTTTAGATTATTTCAGTAAAGGGATAGACAGTTTTACATACATAAATACAAAATAAATCATGTGATTTTTAATCTATCATATAACAGGTGCCTCACAATGTTTTTGCATTAGCTCCTTTTTGAAGCAACATTCTTTTGCTTTTATAAATAAGTCCTCGTCAGCATTTGCAAAATCATCTCCAACTTGATTGGAGTGAGCAGGTGCTTACCCACGAAGGAATACTCAGTCAGTGGTTCAGAGGAATTTTTTTACAAACTTGCAAATTAAAGGAGCTCTCAATGCTTCTCAGGCAGTGCTATGATCTTGACCTCTCTCATTTGTCTACAATGACATTTTTACCTGCAACTTGAAATTGTGTGCAAGTAAGTTCATAATGTCTGCCTCAAACTAGCAACTCCTCTCTAGAAATGCATTCAGTTAGGTCCACAGCAGGAAAAGTAGTAACAGTAGACTCTAATCCTTAAGGTTTCTGTATGTCTTCATCACTGCCTTTATTTTCATTGAGAAGAAGCCACATATAAGCATTTCCACCACTCATTTCCAAAGCACAGAGTGTTAGACTGCTCAGAACTATTCACTTTCTCACGCACCCACATCATGAGCATCCCTTGACTTTGGGCTTGGCCATGTGATTTGCTTTGGACAATGAATATCATGCATATGATCTACCCATAGTCTGGACAGTGTTCCTATGATTGAACACACTCTCATTCTCTGCCATTACCCTAAGAACATTTTCAACTAGCCTGCTAGCTCCAGGAAGATGAGAAACTCATGGAGAAGAGCAGAACTAAGCCCTGGCTGGTGTAGCTCAGTGGATTGAGTGCAGGCTGCAAACCAAAGTGTCACAGGTTCGATTCCTAGCCAGGGTGCATGCCTGGGTTGCAGGCCATAACCCCCAGCAACCATACATTGATGTTTCTCTTTCTCTCTATCTCCCTCCCTTCCCTCTCTAAAAATAAAAAATAAATTAAAAATCATTAAAAAAAAAAGAAAAGCAGAACTACACAAGCCATGCTCAATTTAAATCAGCCAACATCCAGTCTACCTCAAAAATGTACAGATTAAACATTGTTATATGCCACTGAAATTGTGAGATTGTTACACAGCATTGTTGTAGCAATAGTTAACCTATACACTGAAGACCAGAGGTAGGCATATTTTTGCTCAGGTGAAAATGCCTAGGATAAATTATTAAATAAATATGTGTGTGCCTTAGTCAAAAATAGTGTTTTCTTTGATTCAGCATAAATTTTGTTTCAACTATAGAACATATGGTTGGCCTAATCAAATTAACTTTGCAATACAGATCTTTAAAATTATAAAACATTTAAACAGGATGTGCATTACAGGTCACATTACAAATAAGGAGTTAGAGTCTCTGTGAAATTGATTTGCCCAAGGTCACAGAATTAGAATTGATAGAGCTAAAGTGATGACCCAGCTCTCTGATTTCCAGTCCAGAGTGTGATAAATCTTCATTATATCATGATATTTAATTGCTTTTGTATCTCATCCTACTACAAATCAGAGCTGTTTTGTGTGAATTTAAGTAAATATTGATTTTTTTTCATACACAGGTTGTATATTCCCAAAACTGTTGACAGAAAATAAAAGAAAAAGTAGAAATAATTGAGCCCTAGGGGTAGGATGGTCAAGAAAGTGAGAAAAAATGACTATAAAAAGAAAAGAGAAAAGGGAATAATCAAGGTCAGAAGCTGGAAAGAAAGTTTACAGAAATTGGTTAAGGGCAGAGATAATGAAATTGACTTTGCCTCAGAGGCTCCAAGCAGAAGAGGTTCAGGAAGGCAGCCCTCTTGGAACTCCGACTTAGGAGTGTGGCTTTGGCTTGAACTTGAAGGTTGAATCTGCAGAAGTACAGAAACCTTATTCTCCAAGGGCTGACATACATAGCTTGAATTTTTGACAACAGCACTATTTGCCGTGTCAACTAGCTGAAGCTTGAGTATCCAACAGAGAGACAGCTGAAGTGGCGAATGAAAGTTCCCACTACTGGAGAAAAGGACATTAACTGGCAGAAATGGGCTGATGTTCCAGCCAGAAACACATGTTGAGATGGTGGGAACAAGACATTTTATTTCCCAGCTCCTGCAAATGGGGTTTTTTCCCCTGGATTCTGTGATTACTACTAGGTCTCCACACTGCAACCAGGAAGATGTAACCAGAGAGCAGGACAATATGACATTAGACAAGGTCAGATCCAGGGAACACTTTTGAAATTACTCTTAAGCCCTGTTCAGGGCTTCTGTAATGGGCCTTGACCTTGGTTGGGTACAAATTAACATATGAATGAGAACAAGAGGATATGAACTTTTCTCCTCAACCAACATCTTTGTACCCTTCTAACTTCTTTTATATTCTTTACTTGGTCTGCTCACTCAGATTCCTCATGTTTGCTCAAAGGCTCTGTGAGGTTATGATTATATGGCAGGACACTGAGGACAATAAAGGGGAAGAGAAACAAACCCAGGATCACAACATAAAGGGGAGAACATGGGCAGGGCTGCATCCAGCTACCCTTGGCAAATGCCAGGAACATGTGCACATTCGCCCTGGGATCTGTCAGACGGGGCTCCAATTTCTGTCTAAAGAAGTCATACCATCAAATAAAACTGAGTATAGTATTATGCCATTCATCTAGTGTCAGAAAATACTCAAAACTGCTGTCGAGGCAAAGTGGAGGGTATGGAACGACAGTTACATGAACCATGAAGAGAAATTTGATAGAGGAACTGAAAACCCAAGTACCATATATGAGAGTTACCCTCTCTATTCTGCACTTTCTCTCTTCAAGACAGAAATATCTGGTAATGCTGAACAAGAAGAGGAATGGCGATTTGAGAGTTCCATTATGTAGTAAAACTGTTACCAAACCAAACTTGTGAGGCAGTTGGTGGTGAAAAAGAAAAGTTTTATTCAGATGCTACACAGTCTGGGAGTATGGCGGACTCCCTGTCTCAAAGCTCATTTCTTACACAAAACCCAGACAAAGTCCAGCGATACTCAGTAAGACCAAAATGGAAGCCAGTGCCCTGTGTTCCTGCTTCATTTTACACTAACATCCTTTGGGACCCACGGGCAGCTGCCAAGGGGTCATCCAGGCAGCTTTGGTTGTTCCTGGCAGCTGCCCATTTCCAGATCCCTCCTGAAGGCTGTGGGCCATGCAGCTGCAAAGTCCACAAGGTCGCGCGCTCCCAGGAGAGAGCACATGAATGCACCAGCTCACTCTTCACCAGGTTAGCAAGAGAGAGAGAAATAAAATTCCCTCCTGGAAGTCATGGGCCATGTGGCTGCTAAGGCCATCTGTGGCCCATGGAGAGAACAGGTCCCAAACACCATGCAAGTGCAGGTCCCAAACAAGAGGTCCAAGCAAGAATGCATTTCTTTTTTCCCCCCAGTTTATATTAGCTTGGGTGTGGGACAGACCAGGTGTTTCTCAAAATGACCAATCAACCTCTCAAACTTTCACACACTTCAAGTGGGTCCACCTCCCAACCAATCCCTTCTTTCCCCAGGCTAGACTGACAGGCCTCTTTGGTCTAGCAACTCTCCCTGTATCATTTTGACTTCGATGGTGCATGTGCCTGCCACCCCTGCTCCCACACTCAATCTGGTACTGGAAGGGAGAAGGAGGGCTTTTTCCTCTAACCAATTATCTTGCCAGCCTTGGGCATGTTCAGTGTAAGAACCTCCCCATGTTGCCATCGTG